TCGGCCGCCCCCAGCCACGCCCAGCCCGGGCAGGCAGCCATCTTGTTCTGGGCCGCTGGCTTCAGCCACACCCAGCCCGTGAGTGTGCGGAGGGGCCCTGTGCGCTCTCCGCTCTGTTCTGCTTCCCAGGGCCTGGCCCGGCTGCTACCGCAGCAAACCCCTAAACAGTTCTGTTCCCTCGCCAGGCAACATGTGGGCCCAGCAGTGGAACAACATCTACGACATGATGGTCCCCTTCCCGGACAAGCCCAACCTGGATGTCACCAGCACCATGGTGCAGCAAGTAAGGCCTGGCTGCCCCTCGCGGCCGCGGCTTAGCCGGTCGCCCCCAAGGCCTGGCCGGGGGCTGGAGGTAGAGGCAGGCAGGCTGGAGGAGGCCCCCCTGCTGCCCGGAGTGAGGACGAGCCACGTTGCTCGCGGGGTTGCCGGGCCAGGCCTGGTGCGTTTTGCTCCCTAGACGGCCTCGTGCCAACTCCCCGGCGGCCTCCAAGCGACTCCAAGGCCAGAAGGGAGCACTGTGATCGCCGAGGGCCTGCATCGCACGGGCCAGAGGACGCCCTGCAGCCGAGCTGGTCTTTTCATATCCAGCGTGGCCCCTGACCGCTGTGGGCAGAGCACCCCCCATTGCCCCGGGCACCCATGGGCTCCCCCAACCCGGCACCCCCAGGCTGTGCTTGCTTTGTGCCTGCACTGTGCCCCTTTGCCCGACCTCTGCACAGCGCCCCCTTCCTCCCAACCCTTGCACTGTCCTCCCACCTGCCCCCAGCCCTGCTCCACTGCCCCCCCGCCCAGTGCCCTGCACCCCCTTTTCCAGCAACATCCATGCCCAGTTGCCCCTCGCCCTCTGGCTACAGCACCCTGGGCATGGGCCCGTTTGCCCAGCCGTAAGCCTGGCCCAAGGCTCAGGGGAGTGACCAAGGCCAGGAGAAAGCAGGCGCAAGCGGGGAAGGGGAGTGTGCAGTTAGGGGCGGTGCAAGGAATCTCTCCCTTGGCCCGCGGAGGCAGTGAGGCAAAGGCAGCGGGATCCCGACCCCCAAGGGAGCTGTCAGCCCTCGCCGGGCCCTGGGAGGAACAGTTCTGCGCGGGGGAGGGGTCTGAGGACACGACCGCGGTTTATCACTGGGCCGCCCTGAGCAATGGGCCTGTGCTCTGGGGCTGGCGATCAGCGGCCAGCGGCTCCTTCCTGGCGGCTCTGCCCCGGGAAGCCAGTGCCCCGGGGGCCTTTCCTCCTGCGGTCACTGCTCCCAGAAGCCCAGCAGTGACCCGTTCCCAGTGGCGGAGCCCAGGGCAAATCTCCTCTTCTGGGGAGGGGCTGATAAAAGGCTGCCAAGGATCAAGCCTCATTGGCTGCCCGCCCAGACTCTGAGGCCAGATCCGGGCGAGGGAACGTCACGTCCGGTGCACGGCGAGGGCACAGACTGGGTCAAACTCCTGCTGGGGGCAGCTGTGGGGCCGTTCCGGGGATCGGACCCAGGGAGGAATATGGCCCAAGCCAGAGGAACAAGCGAGAAAACGGAGAAAGGGGGGAAGAGAAGCAGGAGACCCTCCCGCTGCTGAGGCGGGTGCAGGGTGACTGTCCCGGGGAGCCCCAGCTCCGGCCCCCGGGCAGCCTCCTCCTAGCGCGTGTAACGCTGCTTCCTTGGCCCTGCCCGCCCAGAACTGGAACGCCACGCACATGTTCCGGGTCTCCGAGGAGTTCTTCACCTCGCTGGGCCTGATGCCCATGCCGCCCGAGTTCTGGGAGAAGTCCATGCTGGAGAAGCCGTCGGACGGGCGGGAGGTGGTGTGCCACGCCTCCGCCTGGGACTTCTACAACCGCAAGGACTTCAGGTGCGGGAGGCGGGAGGCCAGGCCCCTCAGCGAGAGAAGCTAGGGGGCCATTTGAGCCCCCACGCAGCTGGGGGAAGGGCACAAGAGCCACGTTAGCTCCATGGGCGGCCGGTAATGCGGGCAAAGGAAGGCACAGCCTTCCCAAAATTGCATGTGCATCCCAGCCACCAGGGAGGGCTGGGGCTGCAGCGTGGCAGCCCTGCTCCCTGGCTGCTAGGGAGGGCTGGAGCCAGGCCACAGCATGGCAACCCCAGCCCTCCAGGTCCAGGACAGGGTGGGGCTGGAGACCAGGGGCGGGGCCTCAGGCAGAAGGGGTGGGGCTGGGGCTTCCCTTCCGCAGCTGGGCCTTCACCTGCCACCCATAGTGCAGCTCTGCAAGGAATCTGGTAGGGGGAGGGAGCTGGGTATGCCACCCGCCAGGGGATGCCTGGCCTCAGTTTCCCAGTCCTGCCCCAGGGTGCTCTCCTCCTAGCAGCTCCCGAGGTAGGAGTTAGTCCTGGTCAGCGCATACTGGCATAGCTACATCCGTCAGGAGTGTGACCCCCTGTACCTCCTATTAGACCTCCTAGCCACGTAACCATGACAGCAAACCTCATGAGTAACCCCCACCTTAGACCTCCTAGCCACGTAACCATGACAGCAAACCTCATGAGTAACCCCCACCTTAGACCTCCTAGCCACGTAACCATGACAGCAAACCTCATGAGTAACCCCCACCTTAGACCTCCTAGCCACGTAACCATGACAGCAACCCTCATGAATAACCCCCGACTTAGACCTCCTAGCCACGTAACCATGACAGCAACCCCCATGAGTAACCCCCGCCTTAGACCTCCTAGCCACGTAACCATGACAGCAAACCTCATGAGTAACCCCCAGGTCTTGTGTTATCTGTGCAAAAGCCCTATACTGCGTGGTCGTCATCTTTCCAGCTATTGAAACTAGTTGTTGTGGGTTAACCCCTGCCTTAGACCTCCTAGCCATGTACCCATGACAGCAACCCTCATGAGTAACCCCTGCCTTAGACCTCCTAGCCATGTACCCATGACAGCAACCCCCATGAGTAACCCCCGCCTTAGACCTCCTAGCCACGTAACCATGACAGCAACCCTCATGAGTAACCCCTGCCTTAGACCTCCTAGCCATGTACCCATGACAGCAACCCCCATGAGTAACCCCCGCCTTAGACGGGTGACACATCTCCTAGCCACATAACCATGGTGGACACCCCCATGAGTGGCCCCCCCACATCTCCTAGCCACATAACCATGACAGCAATGCCCCCAGAACAGATGCAGTTATGGGGTGGGGGGGCTTCTGTCTGCATGGCTCCCGTGTTCCCATCCCAGCAGAACTCCCTGTCCTGTGCCTACGCTCCGGGCTGTCCCATAGCTGCCACCTTCGCAGCAGCTGCCAACGAAGGTCGTGTTCCCATCTGGCTTAGAAACCCAGGTTCTCCCCTTTCCACCCACATCACCCTCCAGCCCCCCCCCCAGCACCCTAGGGTCCCTGGGGGTGCGGGAGAGCAATGGAGTATTCTCCATCCTCCGTAGGCCAGCATTCCCAGCGGGCGTGGGGGCTGCGCGGGTTGGTGACTCTCCCTGCTGGGAAAGCTGGCTCCCTCCCTCCCGGGGTGTATCCTGGGAGTGTGTGGGGACAGGCGGCTCAGGCCCTTCCCAAAGGGTGCCTGCAGCCAGGACTCTGCCCTTTGCCCTTCAGGATCTTGCAGTGCACCACGGTCACCATGGAGCAGCTCTTCACGGTGCACCACGAGATGGGGCACGTCGAGTACTACCTGCAGTACAAGGACCAGCCGGTCTCCTTCCGCAGCGGGGCCAACCCCGGCTTCCACGAGGCCATCGGCGACGGCCTGAGGCTTCAGCGCCTCAACCACGTGACCCAGGACACAGGTACTAGCGGGGACCTGGATACCCCGGGCAGGCGGCAGGGAGAGGGCAGGGTGGGCAGGGGCAGCAGGCTGAGCAGAGAGCTCCCGTTCATGCACAGGTGTCTTTAGGCTGCAGGGGGCTGGGCTCCCAGCTGCCCTGTCGCGCCAGCTCTTGTGCACTAAGCCTGTCGCACGTGGGCCGGTCTGTGTGAGTGTCCGAGCCCAGAGGTAGCTCTGGTGGGATTTTCCCCTTTTGCCTCCGAGAGCTTCGAACCACCTTCATTTCCTGCTTTCCGGGCTGGTGCAGCACATACATCCTAGACCGGTGCCTTTCTTTCCATCCACCCCAGCACTTGTGCAGCATTCTTAAATGGAGAGATCTCCACACACATCCCAGAGGTGCATGAGCACCTTTGCCGCCCTTTGACAAAAGGAAAAACGAAGGGAGTAGAGGGGATAAGTGATGTGACCGAGGACACCCAGCAAGTCTGTGGCAGAGCTTACAGGATTCCCCGGCAGTTCTGACTGACAGGCCCCTCCTGCTAACAATTAGCTCATGTTGCCTCCCCTGGCTGCACCCAAAAGTAATAGCCTAGAGCCTCAGCGGGTGCCATTTGGCCTGACTCCATTGACACCAGATGAGGATCTGGGCCTGGCAGTCCAGAGATGTGGGCAGCAGGGAGGGGCCATGAATCTAAGGAACCTGTTCTCTTGCCCTTCCAAAGAATGCTCCTTTCCTGCCCCCATCCCCATCCCACTCCAGCCTGTTGGGGGGAGATTCAGGGCTCGCCTGGCCCTCCCCCACCCTGCAGTCCTGGCAGTTGCTCACTGAGGGGCTGGCAGGACAAACAGCTCAGTTCAGTAAGCCAGGCAGCTCCAGGCTGCCCAGCGAAGGGAGTGTCTTTGTGGGGAGGAGGCGGAGGAGTGGGAGAGCTGGTGCGATTAGGTCCAGCAAAGGTCACCGGCAATTAAGTTCTTCTGATGAGCACGGATGATTTGCTGTGTGGGGGGTTGGTCGCTGGGGCCTCGCTGCCTGTGATCTCGGAGCCTGAGAGTCTAGTCCGGGCCCTGTGCGCTGTGGGTCAAACGCTGGGACCTAGGCAGCCCTTACCCAGGGAAAACTGCCCCCGGGCCTGAGCCCTCTGGCTCCCGTGGGGGTTGGTGTGCTCAGCCCAGGGGCGCGAGGAGACGTTTCCCCACAATAAGGATTCTGGGTTTGTCCTTAAGCCTGGCACGGCCCCGGGAATGCTCAGACCTCGCTTACTCTGATGCCAAGCAGGGTTCGTGGGGCTGCCCCAGCCGGGGGCGGGAGGGTCCCAAACCATGTGCAGAGCCAGATGCCCCGTTCTGAAAGGGGCCCCAAAGCAGCCCCTGGCGTTGCAAGCTCCGGGAAGCGCAGGGAGCCAACTGGCCCCCTGCCCAGACATCGGGATGCCAGTATCGGCGCCTCTGATGGACTCCTACAGTAGCACCGCAGGGTGCTCCATCGCAGGCCAGTGGGGAACCAGGACTCAGGCTTGAAGCAAGCCCTTCTCCTTCCCCCCAGAGTGTCGCCCCTGTAGGCAGCTGCTCTGCAGAGGAAGGAACATTCCTGGGATGCGATTTGTGCTGGCGATTCTGAGCCCGGCACAGCTGGATAGCGTCCGAGCAGCCAATAATGGGGCCTGCTGGGCTAGCGACGCTGGACAGAGTAGCCGAGAGCCTCTGCCCTGAAGAGCTGGTGACCCAAACGGGCCAGGCAGAGCTGGGGGGAAGGGGTAGAACTCGCCCACCGAGGGAACCGGGGTGGCAGCAAATAGCGTTACTTCTGCATTTGTTGGGTGGGCTTGGTAGGAGAGGATCCGCGAACTGGAGGGAAAAGGGGAGGGGGAAGAGGGTGGGTGTGGAGAGAAAGGACTGAGGGAAGGTTGGAGCCATCAGCCAGTCTCAGAGGGTATGTCTACACTACCCTTCTATTTCGAACTAGGAGGGTAATGTAGGCATACCGCAATTGCAAATGAAGCCCGGGATTTGAATTTCCCGGGCTTCATTTGCATAAGCAGGGCGCCGCCATTTTTAAATCCCGGCTGGTTCGAACCCCGTCCTGCGCGGCTACACGCGGCACGAACTAGGTAGTGCGAACTAGGCTTCCTATTCCGAACTACCGTTACTCCTCATTCCACGAGGAGTAACGGTAGTGAGGAGTAACGGTAGTTCGGAATAGGAAGCCTAGTTCGCACTACCTAGTTCGTGCCGCGTGTAGCCGCGCAGGACGGGGTTCGAACCAGCCGGGATTTAAAAATGGCGGCGCCCTGCTTATGCAAATGAAGCCCGGGAAATTCAAATCCCGGGCTTCATTTGCAATTGCGGTATGCCTACATTACCCTCCTAGTTCGAAATAGAAGGGTAGTGTAGACATACCCAGAGGTGAGAGAGTCCAATCAAAACAGTAGAAAGTTCCCTGAAAGTCCCCAGTGTCCTGCTTTGGCTGCTTCTGCACCCGCCAGCCCGAGTCTCTAGCCTGGCATGTGCCTGCCACGTAGGTTGGTCTGTTTACATCTCTCCCGGTACGTCGAGGCAGCAGGGCTAAAGGCGAATGAAGCGGCGCGACTCCAATTACGTCAATGGTGTCGCTGAAGTCGAAATAGCCTTATGCGGCTCTCGGCACAGCAGGAAGTCGAGGGAAGAGCCCTCTCCCTCCGACGTCCCGTACTCCCTGTGAAACGAGGGCTACAGCGTCGGAGTAAGACGTCCTCCCGCTCGGCACCATTTCGAAATAACGGCGTGTAGTGTAGACGCGCACTGTGCGGTGTCGGAATAACGCTGCTGTGTAGACGTACCCTCGGGGACCTGCCGACTTCCAAAGCCAGCCTGTGTCCTGGTGGAGACCCCCCGGGCTGACAGAAGACTTCTTCTATCCCCCGCGTGGGTCCGAATATGCGGGGTTTTTTGGTGGACCCCCCGGGCTGACAGAAGACTTCTTCTATCCCCCACATGGGTCCAAATATGCGGGGTTTTTTGGTGGGGAAAAAGCCCTGCACCTGTGTCACGAGGCCATTTCAGTCCCCACTCCTCCCAGCCCAGGAGCTGCCTGTGTGTATCTCCCACCTGCAGGGACCTGGGGCTAATGTCTGCAGCCCCCAGGTTCCTGCCCCACTTCCCTCCGGCTCTGATTCTTGCAGAGAGTGACATCAACTACCTGCTGAAAATGGCCCTGGAGAAGATCGCCTTCCTCCCCTTCGGTTACCTCATCGACCAGTGGCGCTGGAATGTCTTCAGCAGCCTCACCCCTCCCAGCCGCTACAACTACGACTGGTGGTATCTGAGGTACTGGGCTCGCTGGGGGGAAGGCAGACGGGTGCATGGGCCCATGAATGTGGGCGGGTCCGTGTCTTCCCACACGTGTGCGTGTGCATGTGCGAACATGCGTGTGGGAAGCGTGAAGAGTGGTGTGCTACTTCTGGCTTGGCAGATGCACCGTGCAAACAGCTGGCGAGCGCTTGGGGGGGGGGGGCTGGATTAGTTCACCCTCGGTCCCAGAGTGGGCTGACGTGAACCGAAGCAGGGTCACTAGCATTTTACCCTGGAGAACTGGGGCTGTGGCTGGAGAAACTGACCAAGCACCAGACCCAAATCTGTCCTTGATGTGGGCGGGTCAGATACCTTTGAGCAGCCAGTACAGCTGATGGAACCAGAAGGGGAGAAGCCTTGTGACAAAGGCATCTCCCGTAATGTTGCTGAGAGGGGAGAGACCTGATCTCTCACAAGGGAGCATGTTCCTAGCCCTGGGACCAGGCCAGTACTCTGGTAGTGGAATGGGCGGACAGGTACAGCTGTAGGTAGATGGAGGATGGAGGTGTACATGTGGATACTTGCATGCGTATGTTTGGGTGAAGATGCATGGATGGATGGGTACGTATGTATCTTTGTGGGGGGGGGGTGTTAGATGTACAGCAGTATCTTGAATTAAGCCCCAGACACATTCAGGGTTGCTCATCACCCCTCTTCCTTCTTGCTCCCTATTTGCTCTTCATGCACCAAGTGTGGCTCTTCTGTCTGATTCTTTCATGCTCCTGCTAATGCCGTTCATTTTGTCCATCCACCCAAACCCTGTGTTTTACAGAACAAAATATCAGGGCATCTGTCCTCCCATTGCAAGGAACGAAACCAACTTCGACCCTGGTGCAAAGTTTCACATCCCTGGCAACACCCCCTACATCAGGTACTGGAGCTGTCTGTGACTTGGACCACTGGTGGGGGCGGCGTGTTGGGCCAGTCCGCTGGCCTGAATTTGACAAGGCTCAAGTCAAGTTCTGTGGGGCACGTTTATCTGTGTCACATAAGCCCCGGGGAGTGCCTCTGGGGAGCTGTCTGGATCAGGCAGGGTCTCCTAGATCCACAGCGAGGGGTATGCACAGAGCTCAGCGTACCTTGCTGCCTTTCCAGCCGGGAGTTCTGCAGGCCAGGAGAGAGACCCGCTGGCTACGCTGGGTGGGCCCCACTCTGGATAATAAGGGGTGAACCTGCTGTGTACTAGCTAAGGTGTATGTGGCTGGGCCCTAGTGAGAATTAAAAGCCTTAAAATTAGTGACAGCTCCTGGAGATTTTTGTAAAGAGCCCAGGAAACCTGAAGGTGTTCCATGTTTGTAATGGCAGAGCACAGTCACCAGCAGAGGTGTGGGGACCCAGCTGTGCAGTGACAGGGGGCGCTGTGGGGCAGGGTTGGAGCACGGTGCGGCGTGGGGACCCAGCTGTGCAGTGGCAGGGGGTGCTGTGGGGCAGGATTGGAGCACGGTGCGGCCTGAGGATCCAGCTGTGCAGTGACAGGGAGCACTGTGGGGCAGGATTGGAGCACGGTGCGGCCTGAGGATCCAGCTGTGCAGTGACAGGGAGCACTGTGGGGCAGGATTGGAGCACGGTGCGGCCTGAGGATCCAGCTGTGCAGTGACAGGGAGCACTGTGGGGCAGGATTGGAGCACGGTGCGGCCTGAGGATCCAGCTGTGCAGTGACAGGGAGCACTGTGGGGCAGGATTGGAGCACGGTGCGGCCTGAGGATCCAGCTGTGCAGTGACAGGGAGCACTGTGGGGCAGGATTGGAGCACGGTGCGGCCTGAGGATCCAGCTGTGCAGTGACAGGGAGCACTGTGGGGCAGGATTGGAGCACGGTGCGGCCTGAGGATCCAGCTGTGCAGTGACAGGGAGCACTGTGGGGCAGGATTGGAGCACGGTGCGGCCTGAGGATCCAGCTGTGCAGTGACAGGGAGCACTGTGGGGCAGGATTGGAGCACGGTGCGGCCTGAGGATCCAGCTGTGCAGTGACAGGGAGCACTGTGGGGCAGGATTGGAGCACGGTGCGGCCTGAGGATCCAGCTGTGCAGTGACAGGGAGCACTGTGGGGCAGGATTGGAGCACGGTGCGGCCTGGGGACCCAGCTGTGCAGTGACAGGGAGCACTGTGGGGCAGGATTGGGGCACGGTGCGGCCTGGGGGCCCCGGT